AGAACATGCAAACTCCACACAGAAGGGCTCCAGGATCCCTCTTGCTGTTAGGCAACAGTGCTAACCACCACACCACCGTGTTGCCCTATAACCAGTACTGGACATTAAAAACAATGAGTAATCATATACAGTACAGGCCAAAAGTTTGGACACATCTTCTCATTCAATGCGTTTTCTTTATTTTCATGACTATTTACATTGTAGATTCTCACTGAAGGCATCAAAACTATGAATGAACACATGTGGAGTTATGTACTTAACAAAAAAAGGTGAAATAACTGAAAACATGTTTTATATTCTAGTTTCTTCAAAATAGCCACCCTTTGCTCTGATTACTGCTTTGCACACTCTTGGCATTCTCTCCATGAGCTTCAAGAGGTAGTCACCTGAAATGGTTTCCACTTCACAGGTGTGCCTTATCAGGGTTAATTAGTGGAATTTCTTGCTTTATCAATGGGGTTGGGACCATCAGTTGTGTTGTGCAGAAGTCAGGTTAATACACAGCCGACAGCCCTATTGGACAACTGTTAAAATTCATATTATGGCAAGAACCAATCAGCTAACTAAAGAAAAACCAGTGGCCATCATTACTTTAAGAAATGAAGGTCAGTCAGTCCGGAAAATTGCAAAAACTTTAAATGTGTCCCCAAGTGGAGTCGCAAAAACCATCAAGCGCTACAACGAAACTGGCACACATGAGGACCGACCCAGGAAAGGAAGACCAAGAGTCACCTCTGCTTCTGAGGATAAGTTCATCCGAGTCACCAGCCTCAGAAATTGCAAGTTAACAGCAGCTCAGATCAGAGACCAGATGAATGCCACACAGAGTTCTAGCAGCAGACCCATCTCTAGAACAACTGTTAAGAGGAGACTGCGCCAATCAGGCCTTCATGGTCAAATAGCTGCTAGGAAACCACTGCTAATGAGAGGCAACAAGCAGAAGAGATTTGTTTGGGCCAAGAAACACAAGGAATGGACATTAGACCAGTGGAAATCTGTGCTTTGGTCTGATGAGTCCAAATTTGAGATCTTTGGTTCCAACCGTCGTGTCTTTGTGAGACGCAGAAAAGGTGAACGGATGGATTCCACATGCCTGGTTCCCACTGTGAAGCATGGAGGAGGAGGTGTGATGGTGTGGGGGTGTTTTGCTGGTGACACTGTTGGGGATTTATTCAAAATTGAAGGCACACTGAACCAGCATGGCTACCACAGCATCCTGCAGCGACATGCCATCCCATCCGGTTTGCGTTTAGTTGGACGATCATTTATTTTTCAACAGGACAATGACCCCAAACACACCTCCAGGCTGTGTAAGGGCTATTTGACCAAGAAGGAGAGTGATGGAGTGCTGCGGCAGATGACCTGGCCTCCACAGTCACCGGACCTGAACCCAATCGAGATGGTTTGGGGTGAGCTGGACCGCAGAGTGAAGGCAAAGGGGCCAACAAGTGCTAAACACCTCTGGGAACTCCTTCAAGACTGTTGGAAAACCATTTCAGGTGACTACCTCTTGAAGCTCATGGAGAGAATGCCAAGAGTGTGCAAAGCAGTAATCAGAGCAAAGGGTGGCTATTTTGAAGAAACTAGAATATAAAACATGTTTTCAGTTATTTCACCTTTTTTTGTTAAGTACATAACTCCACATGTGTTCATTCATAGTTTTGATGCCTTCAGTGAGAATCTACAATGTAAATAGTCATGAAAATAAAGAAAACACATTGAATGAGAAGGTGTGTCCAAACTTTTGGCCTGTACTGTATGTACAGTGCTGTAATAATGCTATGTTAAACCCATGTTACCTTTAGGAGCCAACACAAAAACTACTGTACATTCAAAACAATGAGTAATCATATATTTACAAGATCAAACTGCAGTGCAGGTGAATTGGCTGCTCTAACATCCCTATCTAAGAACCGTGATATTACTGTAAAGCCCACAGATAAAGGAGGAGGGATAGCTCTGATGGATAGTCAACTGTATGCTAATGAAATAACAAGGCAGCTGTCAGATGTTCATTTCTACAAAAAACTCCCATGTGATCCTACACAGTCCTTTAAAAGGGAAGTTGATTGTTTTCTAAAGCAAGCCAAGTCTTCTGGTCATATTAGTGAATCTGAGTACAAATACCTGCTCACTGATTACCCCATCAAGTCAGTGATTTATGGGTTACCTAAAGTGCACAAACTTTCTGATGGCTTTCCTAAGTGTCGCCCCATCATAGCGAGTATTGGGTCTCTCACAGAACCTCTGTCTAATTATGTTGACCATCATATTAGACCATTGGTTGAGAAGCTTCCCTCATACCTCAAAGATACTGGAGACTTCATTTCCCAACTCTCTACAGTAACACACAGTAGTGGAGACTTGATCTTGGCCACTCTAGATGTAGAAGGTCTCTACACCAACATACCTCACACCTCTGGACTCAATGCTTTGAAGTATTTTCTTGATGCCAGGCCTGAAAATGTTCCTCCTACTGATTTTTTGATTGACATGTCCAAATTTGTCTTAACAAAAAATTATTTCCTTCATGGCACAGACTTTTTCCTCCAAACCCATGGTACAGCAATAGGTGCTAGTTTTGCCCCTGATTACGCTAACCTTTTCATGGGCTGGTTTGAAAATCAGTATGTATACCACAACAATCCTTTTTCACATCATGTACTGTTTTGGAAAAGATACATTGACGATATATGTCTAATTTGGACTGGCTCCCACAACGATCTCCATGCATTTCTAAAGTATCTCAACAGTTGCATTGATTCAATTGTATTTAATATGGAATGTGACAGTCACAAAGTCAGCTTTTTGGATACATGGGTAATCATTAATGGTAACAACATCTACACCACTCTTTTCAGTAAACCTACTGACAGAAATAGTTTGTTACACTACTCCAGCTACCACCCCCCTCCCCTCAAAAAAGGCCTACCCTACAGCCAGTTCCTAAGGGCAAGACGCATCTGTACCAGAGATGATGATTTTCAGGTAGAAGCTCACAAACTCTTTGATCAGTTCTTAAAAAGAGGATACCCACGAAATATCTTGGAGCAGGCACTGTGTAGAGCCTCTGAGAAAAGCAGAAATGAGTTAACAAATGATAAAGCTAAAAAACAAAAAACATTTCCTTGTGTATTCAATACCACCTGTTCACCACTTGGGTATGACATTTGTACCGTAGTGAAAAAACACTGGAATGTTCTGTCTGTTGATGATGTTGGAAAACAGATATTTAACTCTCTTCCCCTTTTCTCCTTTTCCAGAGCCAAGAACATTCGGGACACACTAGTGCATGCAGACACACATAGAAAATCCCCCCACCAGAGACGTCTGGACAATGCCACAGGCTTTTTCCCATGCCGCAACTGTGCTGCTTGTTCTAATGTCAAAAAGGTTAACACATTTAGCAGTTTTATTACCAAAAAGGAATACAAAATAAACAAAATGATAACTTGCAACTCTACAAATGTTGTCTACCTTCTTGTATGCACCAAATGTGGCATCCAATATATTGGTAAAACTAGGAGACAACTGAGACTAAGAATCAATGAGCACAAAAGCTCCATTCGCCGCGCTGATCCTAAATCAGCTGTGGCCAGGCATTTTGCTGATGATAATCATTCTCTCTCTGATCTGATATTTTGTGGCATTGACATGATAATTCCCAAATGTCGTGTGGCAATGTGGACCAAATGCTTCTACAATGTGAATGCAAATACATTTACTATTTCAAAACCTTACAACCCGGTGGGCTAAATGAAGAATTAGAAATGTCTTGCTTTTTGTAGGTCTGTCTGTGTGCACTAGTCTGACCCTAATAGTCCCCAAGCCAGAGTACAGATGTATATCTGTTGATGTACTTATTCACCTTTGAGCTCCTTGTCCAAGGCTGTTTGTATATATGTATATTGTAATGGTGTGATGTGTGACACAGTGCTGGTACCTCTAATTGATTACCTGTCCTCTGTGAGAGGCTCCAGGTGTGCCCAATCAAGTTTGATTGAGAAGACTACACTATAAGAACCATGCCACTAGGACCTCTCATTATATGCACTGACGATAGTCCCTTGAGGACTGAAATGTTTGCTGCTTGTTTGTCTGTGAAGATCCCCAGTAAAATGATCTTTCATTAAGACTCTCAGTCTACATTTGTTTTCTGTGTGCGAGTCCTTTTCCGCTTTTTGACTTTCATCTCTGACTACCACACCAGAATTAAGAAGTTTTTGGACTGATTTAAGTGCGCAGCTCTTTTTGCTTATTACTACAATGTTGTAATAATGCCATTTGTTCTAGCAATCACTTCTTCATGAAATCCTTTCCTAGTTTGTGTTCTCATGTCAATCTTCCACTAGGCAGAAGAATTTGGATAGTTCAGTGCATGTCTTTTTGGGTAATGAAGTTCTTCAGACCTAAGAGATGTTCAAAGTATGTGTTTTAATACCATTTTCCAGCATTGCTTAAATTATTGTAGCCTACTATCTCATGTGTTGCAAGAATATGCTGACTGCACTTCCAACTGGGAGGAGTATTGAGAAATATCAGAGATGGGACAAGGGGTATACGAGAGATAGCTTGTGGGATTTCTTTATTTTTCATACTTGACTGGAATTTGACCTATACAATCTGCACATACACTTTCTATTTTAATTATATTCTAGGGTTTTTTATATTCATTTGGTTATGGTTATTGTTAATTGTTTTGGAATACAAAAGTCTTGTCACACTAAAATGAAAAAAAGTTTCATTGTAGTGGTTATGAGTTGTAATAGAAAATGCATTTTCTTTAAAAGCATAAAAATGTTATCATTCGAAAACTGTAAAAGATATCAATATCATGCAAAATACAAGTTTAATGGCTCGAAGTCTCACAACCCATTTAAAGTGTTAGAATGACCATAGCGGCTGGATGATGCAGTAAAAGAGCAGTCAAAAGGCGATGGTACAGTGCACCATATCATGGGTGTTTATTCACCAAACCAGAGAAAAACACATACAGCAGTACAGGCATGGCAGCATTAACAGATGGGAGACCTGACCAGCAACAAGGACAGATGGAAACTGGCGCCTTTTATACCATATCACTGGTCCCCTTGATTGGATGCTCCCATTAACAGGTTTTTTAACAATATATTATCTCATGGCTAATCACCACCGACAATATAAGCAGCATACAATTAATATACATATATACACCATCTACCAAAACCCCCCCTCTTCCTATCCTATCACTTGGTCTCTCCTGGAACCTTTAAGTTGGTGTTTGTACCCCCGGGGACTCTTTTGGCTGAACACCCTGGAGGAGACACAGGAAGGACAGGTAAGAATCTACACAAACAACTCAAACACAGGCCGCAACTTTAACACACTAATAAACACTTTCACATTGCAATATTAAAGCACATTTATGTTGTCTGATGAACCAAAACTCAATAGCACTTAATTTTAAAAATGCTTCACATATTCAATAAAGCTCATGTGCAAATATGCAATGTGCAAACTGCTCTGTGCAAATCATGCTAATAAAGTGCAACTATCACCATGAAAGTGCCATGTGCCATTATAAAAGTGACTAATTAAGTTGTTTGTTTAAAAGTGACATTAATACACAGACCCAGTTGTGCAGTATTTACATGGCCAAAGCCATCAGTCACTAGTATTAACTAAACTCCATAACTGCCTTAAAGACATAAAAACTTAGATGAGCACCAATTTCCTGATGTTAAATTCAGACAAAATTGAAGTTATTGTTCTTGGCCCCCAAACAACTCAGAGACTCTTTATCTGATGACATAGTTTCTCTAGATGGCATTGCTCTGGCCTCTAACACTACCGTAAGAAACCTCGGAGTAATATTTGATCAAGATTTGTCTCTTAATTCTCATTTAAAACAAACCTCACAGACTGCATTTTTTCATCTGCGTAATATTGCGAAAATTAGGCCTATCCTGACCCAAAAAGATGCAGAAAAATTGGTTCACGCTTTTGTTACCTCTAGGCTGGATTACTGTAACTCTCTATTATCAGGTAGCTCTAGTAAGTCCTTAAAAACTCTCCAGCTAATTCAGAATGCAGCAGCACGTGTACTAACAGGAACTAAGAAACAAGATCATATTTCTCCTGTTTTAGCTTCTCTGCACTGGCTCCCTGTAAAATCCAGAATTGAATTTAAAATCCTACTGTTAACTTATAAAGCTCTAAATGGTCAAGCTCC